GAACCTAGGAGAAGGGAGCCTCCAGGAAGCATGGCTGCAGCCTGGCTGTGGGCAGAACTGGGGCAGCAGAGGGACTGTGGAAACCTGGCGCCCCGGAAGGGTTTATGCTGGGAGAGGGCGGGCAAAGGAGGTGGTATCTATAGACTTGAAAAATTGGGCTCCAGCAGGCCTGGGCGGTGGTGACCCCATGGCTTGGGGAGGCAAGCCCCCCCCACCCCACTGCCCACCAGAGCCCATGCTGCTCCCGCCCATGTGGCTGTTGGCCCCTGCCCCTTCCCTGCCCCAGGGCAGGGCCCCCAACCACCCCCCGGCCCCAGAGCTCCAGAAAGCCGGTGGGCAGCAGCCCCAGGCACAGAGCTCCAAAGAGTTGGCGGGTGATGCGGCCCCAGTCTCCCCTGGCCCTGGAGCTCCAGAGAGCTGGCCAGTGGGCATAGCACAGGGCTGGGGCTGCATCACCCGCACCTCTGACCAGCCAGGCCCTCCCTGACCCAAGCCACCTGCCCTAGCCCTGAACGGCCAGAGTGGCCCTAGTGCTGGGAAGACAGGCAGCGCGCACCCCCCCAAACTGTCTGCTCCGGCCTCTGATATCACAACAGCAGGCTGGGGGAGTGGTTCTGGGGGACTCCGGTGGAGCACGGGCAGGGCCAAAGGAAGCAGTTTGGGAAGGCAATGCCTTCTCCTGCCTAGGATACCTACCACCTGTGCTGGCAGGGGAATATGCAGGGAAGGGAGCTGCGAAGGAGAGGCAGGGGAGGAGCAAGGCAGGGGCTTGCCAGGCTGTGCCACAAGGGGCGTGCCGTGGGGTGGCCCCCTCTCCCCTGGCCTTGTCCCTTCCCCCTGAGCGCCGACATGAGGAAAGGTTTCCGCTGCAGGGAGTCAGCGTTGAGCACAGCCCTGGACGTGTCTGACCAAGAGTGAGCTCTGACCTCACCGTAAAATGGAGCAAGTGTCAGGCTTCTGGGCAGGTCACTGCGGGAATCAGGAAGGAATCTCCAACCTGCCCCCGGAGGCAGCACTGTACACCTGGCCAGTGTGCGCAGTGCTGGGGGAGGAATTGGCCATCACGGGGAAGAGCCCCACACGCTGGAGCAGATGGGCTGTCCCAGGAAGCAGAAGGGACAGGCTAATGGGTCCCAGGGCTCTGGGCTGAACTGATGGGACTTGCCACTGTCTCCTGTTCCCCTGTGCCTGGTGGGCCTGGACAGGGCAAGTGACTCAGCCTTGCCTGCCATGCGCCCCACAGGTGTAGCATGAACCCCTGCCTGTGTGGGGGTGCACAGGCCAGACAGCCTGCTGGGGCCTCAATCCAGGAAGGAGCTCAGAACCAGCCTCTCTCCCTGCCCCCCACTAGCATCTCTCACCAGAGCCCATGGGGCCTGCCAGCTCCTAGGGCGACTGGCCACTTGCTATCAGAAAGGGTCCCAGTGCTTGGAGGGGGGGGATAGGGCTGGACCCCCCCAGGGAATGTCTGATTTATCGGGCTGTGGCTGCTGGAGGGTGGGGAGAGCTGGAGCTTTGTTAGCTGCCCTGGAGCCCTGCAGGGAAAAGCCAGGGTGTAGGCTGAGGACGGGGGGAAAACCCTCCTGGCTCCCTGCACCCTGCCAACCCCTGCTCTCCCCCAGAGCTGTCTTGTCTGGGCTAGTCCAGCCCACGCTCACCGCCTGTGAGCCCAGGGGCAGTTCTGAGCTGCAGGGTGAAGGCCAGTGTGGTCTAATCTTATCACTCACTGACCGTTAACCTCCAACGTCAGCATGAGTCAACGGTGGGGGGTGGCAAATGGCCCCATGGGACATTCCAGGTTAAGCTGAGCGGTGCGGGGGCCATGCTGTCCTCCGAGGAGCTCAAAGCCTTTCAGCAGCATTTTCTTATCAGTCCCCCTGGGGAAACTGAGGCACGAAGGTGCGGCACAATCTGCCCAAGAGAGCCAGGAGCAGCATTCCCCTTCCTGTGTCTGGCCACTGCACAGAGGCCCCTTTTCTCCCCGGTGCAGTCGGTAGCGAGGGAGAGCAGCTGTAAGGGTTGCCTCTCTCCGACAGAGCTCCTTGGGCAGCAGCAGCAGAAAGTGGCTCTCTGTCTCTCATGTGGCGGGTCCCTGGAGCCGGCCCAGAACTAGGGGCCCTATGGGTTCCCCAGCCTCGGGCCCATGGGGAGACGGGGCTTTGGGGCAGCCAGCAGCGGGGCTAGCAAATCGCTGAGCAGGGCAGCTCTCACTCTCCCATGTGCCAGGGCAGCCCCGAGGGGGAGTGAGCAACCCCCTAGCCAGCGTCGAGGGACTTGGGCTGGGGCAGGGCTCGCTTGGTGTGGGAGCTGGGAGGGAATGGCCTAGTCTGTCAGCCCCTCCCTGTGTAGGGCTGGCTGTGCTTCTGCTGCTGGCCTGGCTTGGCGGGCAGCACTAGGGCGCAGGGAGAGCCCCCCATGCCACTGGCAGACAGCTGCACCGCTGCCAACCCAAAGGTGTTTGAGCTTGTGAAGATCATGTGTTTGAGTGTCTGCCTGGGTTGGGTCCAACGTTGCCAGGACGAGTGGGCACTTTGGGGGGGAGGTGCCCCCCACGCAGATCAGGTGACACCAGTGTGAAGCTGGAGTCACCCTGCTTCTGCTGACACAGCTCCTGGGGGTTCCCCCAGCTGTAAGTGAGAACAGAGGCAGGCCAGGCTCCCGGCCAGGCCCAGAGGACCTGTTTGAGTGTCTGCCTGGGTTGGGTCCAACGTTGCCAGGACGAGTGGGCACTTTGGGGGGGAGGTGCCCCCCACGCAGATCAGGTGACACCAGTGTGAAGCTGGAGTCACCCTGCTTCTGCTGACACAGCTCCTGGGGGTTCCCCCAGCTGTAAGTGAGAACAGAGGCGGGCCAGGCTCCCGGCCAGGCCCAGAGGACATGTGTAGACAGCCCCCTGGGAGACCCTCGCTGCAGTGTCTGGTGCTCCTCACAGGGCAGCCTGGGATCCTCTGTGGGGGGCACCATCACGCTCCTCATCCCTTTGCTCCAGCCATTTGTCCAGACTGCTGGAGGGAACGTCCGCTGCGCTCTCGCCTCCATGATGCATCTTCCTTGCTCTGGTTTTAAGGCATTGCCAATGGAAATCATGGGTGGGGGGAAACCTGCAGCTCGCTCCTTGTGTACAGAGGAGTCCCAGTCAAAGAAAGAGAGCGCAGCCGGCCCAGCGAGAGTTCCCCTGGCCTTTAACCCAAGCATTGCCATGGGGACGGGTTTGGCATCCCATACAGAATGTGGCCGCAAACAGCTCTGTTCCATGCTCTGTGTTGGCACAGACCCTCTCCCAGGCCTTTGGGTCAGCGCCACCTTCCAACACAGCCGGGCCTAGCCCACCAAAACGTGGCCCAGACAGGCGTCCTCTAAAGCCCCGAGGTGTCTAGGGCTGAGTTCGGGTTCACCCTGTTTCCCACAGTCCAGCACAAACCAGCCTGATGAGATGCCCTCCCGCCCCCCAAGGGCCGTGTGGGTGCTCCCCTATCTGGCTGCTTCCCTGTCAGGAGTCTTAGTCAAGAGAGGCCCCATGTTCCTTTGTGCAAAAGGACAGTTACATTGGTGCTACACCCCAAGGGGGCAGCCCCGGGGCAGCCCTTTGCTAGGCTCCTTCCCCACAGCTGGGAACACACCCAGGACACGAGGCCACAGGCACTAAGAGGGTGCAAGGGGGCAGACCCTGCTGGGCTCCTGGCCCCAAGCCAGTTAATGTGAGGGCAGCGCAGAGATCCTGTCCGGCTCCCTCCCCCTCGACTTAGTCACTGTTTGTTTTATTCTGTTTCCAGGAAAGCCCTGTGTTGACAGCAGGGAGGCAGCTGACAGTGATGCTGGCCAAGGAGGGGACCCCTCTCCACCTGGGTCACAGGGTGCAGAGGGCTCCTCCTCTTTCAGTGGGGTGGGGGCTGGACTCCTCCCACTGGTGGCAGCCAGGCCTCTTTATGCAGGGTGGCGAAGGGAATCAGTAACATGCATGGCCAGGACCTGCAGTGGGAGCACCTAGGCCCTGGGATTGGTGGGTCACGGGAGGGGGTGAATAAAGAGTTGGTGCGGACAGAAAACAGGTCCCCCCCTTTCCCTTGCTGATGTATGTCATCCTACAACCTCCCCTGCACCCCAGTTCATCCGCTTGTTCATTCAGCACCCAGCTCCCCAAAATACGGGGCAGGAAACTGCAGCTGCTCAGACCCACCGCTGGGAAGCCCTAACCCCATGGATTCTCTTCTTCCTTGACATCTTTAGCTCATGGTTGGAGGGCATCAGCGACTCCGCCAGAGGTTAGAGGTCTAGGCCTGGAGGGGCGGGGTGAGGTTCTGTGGCCTGTAATGTGCAGCAGGCCAGACTAGATGGCCATGATGGACCCTTCTGAGCTATGAGACCACCCCAGTGAGTCCTGCAGAGGGTGACCAACTAGCAGAGGTGAAACATCAGGACAGGGGGCCGGGGGTGATCGGCCCCTATACAGGGCAAAGCCTCGACTATCGGGAGCGTCTCTATAAAATAAGGATTTCTGCTTGCCCTAGTCCTGCAGGCTGTCAATGGCACCTGGGCTGAGGGAGTGGGAGGTGGAAGGAGCCCAGAAAGGCTCCCGGACCCCAGGGCCAGGGCGAGAAAGCCAGGGATGTAGAGTGACCTGCAGCCTCTTGGGGCAGGAGGACATTGGCTTGGGAGAGAGAATGTCCTACAGAAAGTGCAGGGGGACGGGGCTCCCTGGGCTGTGGTTTGCCCAGGCCTCCCCCCCCCCCTAAACTAAAAATGCTGGGGGCGGGTGAGTGATGTCAGACCCCAGCAGCAAGGAGGAGAGGAGAGGAGGGGCTGGTAGCACTGCCCCCCCGCCCCGTACAGATGGGGAAACTGAGGCACAGCAGGGCAAAGGGAGCTATCCAGAGTCGCCCAGGCAGGATACCAGGGTGAGGGGCGCTTGTCAAGGGCT